TACTTCAGAGGTATTTGTAGCGAAGTGGCTATTTCGCTTATTGGATAATGTGTGAGACTGAAACTTCGCCGGGATGTTCTACTTTTAAGTGGGTCTTATATCTGTTTGAAAGTGGAATTCCTTGCAAATGAGTATGAGAAATACTCAACTTTACCAGAAACAAGTGCAATTTACGGTGAACGACAGTCCTCAAGCTCTCCCAACATCCAGTTTATTTACATATTTGGATTTTTTGACAAACGACCGCTCTAACAACTATTGCCAGACGGAGACTGTTTAATTTCATTTATGCAAGATTTTTGTTGATTTGTAGCCTGATTGCTTCAAGTTTGATGCAGAAACGTATGATCACATCGGCAAGCCTGGTGCGTTTCAGCCTGGGTTCTCAATGAATGACCATTTACTCGACAAACGACCGGGCTTCATACAAAAACCTGTTGACCATGCATACTGGAGATCCATGCGGCTCCATAATGCACCACCTTCATCCCAGCCAACGCTCTTTCTCCCGCATTGTGCGAGAAGAAAATCATTGGCGACGCGCACTGGGTGGGCCCCGTGCGATCGTGCATTTTTGCAGTGTTTCGTGCTGTAATAAGATCACCGGAAATTCCGCTAGCTAGAAACCTCTTGTACATACTGGCCCACGAATTTCAGGGAGTTATACTTGAACAGGGAAAATTCCCTCGAAATCCCAGGCGCCCAACTTCCTCAGTTCCCGAGTTACCCAAATTCCAGCCCTAAAATTTCATGCGGTCGTACGTGATAGCCACGCAATTTGATAAATTTAGGTCATAGATGAGATGCGAACATTTTCTGAAGGTTTCAGCCTCCCAGCTCCCCTGGTTTCGAAGATAGCCATTTTCCCTCCAAAAATTTTCATGGGGCCGTACGTGGCAACCACACATAACGGGGGGTTGAATTTAATAAATTTAAGTTGTAGATGGGTTGGGAACATTTCCTGAAAGTTTCAGCCTCCCAGCTTTTCTGGCTCTGGAGTTATCCATTTTCCGCCAAAAACTTTCACGGGACCGCACGTGATAATGACGCATAACAGGGGGCTGAGTTTGATAAATTCAAGTTGTAGATGAGTTGGGAACATTTTCTGTAAGTTTCAGCCCTCCAGCTTCCTTGGTTTCCGAGCTAGCGATTTTCGCGCCAGGAACCCTCACGGGGTCGTACACGGGAAACGCGCACACCTGGGGACGGAATTTAAAATCCTTATGGATTATATGGACGGGGAACATAATCCCAAAATTTCAGCTTTCTAGCTTTTCTGGCTCCCAAGTTAGTGATTTTCCCGCCAAAACTTTGAGGCGCTCGTACGCGGGACCTAGATGTGCTTGAGGATTGGTGCCGCGGTCCTGGGGTGGAACTTGGCCGGGAAACCCACTCGCAAAATTTTGACGCTGAAACTTGCTTGGGTGCCGAGTTGAAAACCCGGGCATACGCACACACACACACACACACACACACACACACACACACACGCACACAAACACACACGCACACCGGGTTGTCACAATATGTGTTTTTGCACAAATGCAAAAGCGCATAAAAGCACGGTCAATATGAGTCCAACTGTTAAACTACAGCGCGTGAAACGTTCCTGCTTTTAGCGATTTACAAGTTTAGCGCAAAAACACATGTCCGCATCGGTAAACCTGGTGTTTTGCAGCCTGGGCTTTTTTTGTATCCACAAAAATAGAAACGACTTTGTTGTTTCTATTTTTGTGGATACAAAAAAGCCCAGGCTGATCATGTTTTTAATCGTACATGGATGTCTATATATGCGGTTCGTTCAACTGAGGAACTGTGAAATCCAAGAAGCTAAAATGCTGGAAGCGCGTTTCTGGGCCGAGCACAGATTCATGCTGTAAGGAATTTATTTCCAGATCTCGTAGCGTTCTGGCAAAGAATTATAATACTTTTAAGTAATAATTTTAAGCCAGCTAGAGCGCAATGGCAAGTGTTTCTGCTAACAGGCTCAAGATCGAAGACTACTTCCGAATTCATCTTTCTCTCATAGAAGGTGGGTGGGGATAGTCGTTGGCTTTTACCTCCTCAGTTATGAGACAGATCCATGAACCAGGGGGAAATGATAATTGCACGTTTAATTCAGCAGCGGCTTTAGAGCCACAGCTGCAAACTATTGGTGCATATTAGTAAGTCACTGGGCGTCGGAAAAAAATTTTCGCAAAAACGCACTGTCACGCCGAGAGTTCGATGAGTACGTTAGATCTGGCGCGTAACAGTCAATACAACCAACCGATTAATTTCCTGAAACACACAGCAACCGTCTGAGCAACATCCGAGGCTGCACAGGTACGTTATTGGATCATCACTCGCTACGTTTTTGTAATAGCAAAGATGATAATCGTCATCTGCAACGAAGTTCGCTGACTGACAAACGCTTAACAACCCTGTATTTTTTAAACGAATCAATCAATAAATCCATGAAGTTCCTGCATACTAAGCAAATCAAAAAATTACCAGTCTTTTCTTGGTAAAATAGGCTGCTCAGATTCTGTCGAATTTTAACAGATACTGCTGGAACCAGTCTGAAAAGCTAATTAATTTTAGAACTGATTTTAGAACGTATGTATGAAAAGTATATGTGTTTTCTGCTTGATGAGTGAATGGAAGTAATGTAATCCTTTTTTTTAAATATTGCAAAAACGAATGCTTAGCTCAGTGCCGTCATAGCTTCTCTAACATCTCACCCTAACAACTCGATCAGCATAAGTGAGTTAGAAAGTAGCAAATGCATTATCTCGGCATCTCAGGACAAGCCAAGGAAATTTTGCACCACACTTTCTTCGATCATGCTGCGATGACACAAACCCGAACCGCATTAATAACGCACTGATAATCAAGTGAGAATTATAAGGTCATGCAGATATGAGGTGTCTGCGCTTGAATATGATTAATGGCGCGGAGGCAGAGGACTCTGCGTTGAAGATCCCGTGCAATTTTATGCATATTTTTAGCCTGAAGCACTGCAAGTGATGTTGGGTACAATGCTACACCCTTCAGTTCTTAGTACTTTTTTTGAAAAATTAGTATTTGACATACGAAAAATATTCCTGAACCTATAGTTTTGGAACAAAGGTAAATGAATTTACGTGGAAGTACTGAAAGTGAAATGTAACTGCTCCTGCTCACTGGGTGGTAGATTAGTCCATCGAGAATCCATCTGTAAAAAAACACTTCGATCGATCAGAACTGATCACATCAGTGTAAAATACACACGCTCGAGCGGCTGAGAAAGCTCTGCTAGTTTGCAGAAAGGCTACAATCATCCAAATAAAAAGCGGCGCATGCCAGCGGACTGTGTATTTTGCAG